GGAGCTGTCGAGTGGTTTAGCACCGCCCAGGTGACTTATACACATCTAGATGTGTATAAGAGACAGGTGTTAGTGTGTGACGTGGGGTTCGGAGGATGGACATGGACGGTTCGAACGAGATGCGGTTGGGAGCTGTCGAGTGGTTTAGCACCTGTCTCTTATACACATCTAGATGTGTATAAGAGACAGGTCCTGACCCTTGCAAGGCCCCAAAACCTCAAAATGCCCACCCTCCCGGACGACCACCGACTTCGAAATTTCAATGACGTTGACATGTCTCAGGGGTGAAAACGCAACCCTGACGGGCTACGAACTCTGCCAATTTTAGGGCTCTTACAGTCCACGCGGTGCACGGCCTATCCTTACGCCCGTACCCCTCACCGGTACCGCGAACGGGCAAGCTTAGGGTCAAATCCCACTACCCTTGATTATTCATTTTTCACCCTCGATTACGATGATCAACAGTCAGAAATGAACAATAGGGGCTAGTGGGATCTGGCCCTTAGGGGGAGCGCACTCTGCGGCTAGGGCGAAGTTGACGGAGCGCCAGTACAACCTTTTCAAAAATTCGTGGAAGGGGAGGTGCTGGAAAAGGACTGCCCCCACACTCTGCGCCTGGCAAAGCCGACTTCGATTACCCTATAAACCTCCTCGTGAAGCTGAAGAGGATTTGTCGTGGGTAAGCTCTGGAACTGGAAAAGGACTGCCCCCACACTGCGCCTGGCGAAGTCGTGGGTAAGCTCTTTTATGGTGGCGCGCTCGTCTCATACGATGCATCGTGAAGGTTGGAATTGGAACCTCAGGCTCGGGCCGTGCGTCGTATGAGACGAGCGCGCCACCATGACCGAACGTGAGTGAACTGTCCCTTTTTGTTTCGTTCTCGTCGATTTTCTGCTTTTTTGGTTTCTATGCTGTCTTTCTTGATCTTCCGATCGATTAACCTGGCAAGTCCGGCACACACACACACACACACACACACACACACACACACACACAGACACACACACAGGCACAGAGAGAGAGAGAGAGAGAGAGAGAGAGAGAGAGAGAGAGAGAGAGAGAGAGAGAGAGAGAGACGCTACGTGCTCTCTCTCACACATTGCATACGCGTACCCACAGAGTGGCAACTCCATCAAATGGACGAGTAGAATCCACAACGTCAGCGGGGAAGGATGGTCGGGGCAGTGGGGACGTAGGGTCGCCGCGATTGGCCAGGAGTATCGGCGTAATGGGGGAAGAGGATCGGCGTATTGGGGAGGAGGGTCGCCGCATTGGGGGAGGAGGGTGGGCGGTGGCTGGGCGCATTTGCGGAGGAGGGTGGGCGCAGTCGGGGAGGAGGGCTGGCGCAGGGGGCGGGCGAGAGGGTCGGTGCAGTGTGGGGGAAGAGTGTGGACGCGTTGGCTGGGCACGGTGCGGGAGGAGAGTGGGCGCAATTGGGAAGGAGGGTGGGTGCAGCTGGGGAAGTGAGTGGGCGCAGTCGGGGGGGAGGGCTAGCGCAGGGCGAAGGAGGGTTGGCGCAGTCGGGGAGCAGGGCGGCTTGGTAGCGGCACGCGCGCACACAGACACACACGCACACTCACGCACACACACGCACGCACGCACGCACACGCACGCACGCACGCACACGCACACACACACACAC